CCTGCCCGCCCTCTAGGCCGCGCCGCTCCGGCCCGCCCCTCCGGCTGCCCCCTCGCAGAGGAGGATGATGAAGCTCAAGTCCAACCAGACTCGCACCTACGACGGGGACGGCTACAAGAAGCGGGCGGCCTGCCTGTGCTTCCGCAGCGAGAGCGAGGAGGAGGTGAGGCCGGGGCACGGCCCCCCCCGGGGACAGGGCCGGGGACCCCCCTGCACACCCGCAGACCCCCGGGTGCCAGGGGGTCCCAGGGGGGTTTTAATTTTTTTTTGGTCTAGGTGCAGTTAAGCCTCGCTAGGGAAGTTGGTGTTTCAGCCTTGTCTTTTTATTTCTCTCTGCTAAACGTTTAAGTAAAATGCCCAGAATGGAGCTGTGGAGGGGGTTGGTGGGATAGCCTGGTAAGGAGTGTTGTGGTATGCGATGGGATTTGGCAGTTGAGTGGACCGACCATGCTGGCAGAACTTCAGTCCAGCACATCACATGAGATGGGAGAGGAAACCTGACCTTGGATTTATAAAAAGAAACTGGGATAAAAGGGGACTGATGGAGTGCCAGAAGTTGCTGTCCAGAGAGGCTCGGGAGGAAGTGGGAATTAAAGGTAGATGGGTTCGTTGCTAAGTGGTTGTATTGTCCATGAACTTAAAAAGGGAAAACTTTACTCACTATTCCTTTTTTAATATCATCTTGGGGTACTCAGGCCAAGCTAGGCTGCAGGTCTTCTTTTGCTTCTTCTGGGAATCAGGCATATTTCAATTCATTTACTGGTTTCTGAGTGGCTGTGCTAAAGTCTTTGTTCTCCTGATTATCATATTTGTAGCTACAGGAAATCGGAAGGGAATGCAGACAGTTCACTGGAGGAAAGTAAATTAGCATACTGTTCAGTTATTCTTTAACATGGGGAAGGAGGCTCGACAAACCCTTTGTAGCTGTGCTGTCATGGTGAAGAACATCAGCATTTCAAGCATAAATGGTCTGACATGAAAACGGGCTGTTTTGGTGAAGCATTGATCATAGCTGGTCCTTCCCACTGACTTTCAGGAAATGTGTGATACTTTGAACTCACTATGAAGAAGAACATAATTGTGTAATGATGCTGGGGCTAATCAGCATGGGTGGTTGAAGGCATCTGTGTTTCCTGATGTGATTGTACACAATTTGTGAGGCAAGTGTGGCACTTCTCAAGAGTTGGGTGCCTGACCATGTTTGATTACAGTATGGTTGAAGGTGGAAATGTAGTTTGAAGAGATCTCTGATGCAATCAGCTTTTGGCTGGTTAATTAGTCTTCATTTTACAAGGCCTCAGTTGGCAGTGTCACAGGGGCTCCAGCTGCCCCCATGGTGGTGGTTGGTTATGTCTCTGGCCAGTGAGAACTGGTGTCCAGAGCTCTTCAGGTGTTGGTGACACAAAGCTTTGCTAACATGTCAGGGTCACAATACTGACTTGAGATGGAAGAAGGAAAAGTCAATTCATTCTAGAGACACACTAACTTGTAACAGATTTCAGTGTAGCTTCAGCTGGTTGGATTTGTTTAAGGTTGAGTTTTAAAACCATTTTTATGTCAAAGTTTTCTCATTCTCATTTGGCTTGAAATTACTTGAAGTGGATTGAACTTGTCAGCAGTTTCAGGCTTTAGTTTCTAGGTAAGACCTAGAGTAGAGAAATCTGTTTCCAGTTCCAAAGGCAGGAGTTTTGAGGTGGCTGGTCTCCCTGTGCTCATTGTGTCTTTCCATGGGTCTGTTCCAAAGGCTGCAAGTGAAGCTCTGGAGAACTTCTTGTGTATCAGAACAGAGGTTCTCATGTGAGCATGGTTTCCTCACTTGAGGTCTGGTCACTCTTAGTGTCTTAGTCTCATCTCTGATCTCCCCAGTAAACTGAGGTGGTGTGTTGTGCTGTTCTGTGACATTGAGGAGCACTAATTGCTTTGTAAATAATGCAGCATGGGATGTAGATTGATTTCCTCAAGTACCTGCATGTATGTGGTTGTTTTTTTTATTTATTTTGATAAGGGAGCCACAGAATCAGAATCAGAGAATGGTTCAGGTTGGAAGGGGCCTTAACAGATCATCAGGTTCCAAGCCCCCTGCTATGAGCAGGGGCACCTCCCACCAGACCAGGCTGCACAAGCCTCATCCAACCTGCCCTTGAAACA